CTCAAGATTCGATGCAGTGCTCAAGACGATTGGATCGAGGCAGCCACCATGTGCATATCTTCATGAAATCAATGAAGGCTCATGCCAACATTTTATTTGGAGTGGTTTGACCCAGAAATGACCGAGAACACCATTGAACATTCTTTTTGTTCACTTGGTGTATATAGAATGGAAATGAGATATAACATCGGGAAAGCATGCAACGCACATCGTACAGCACCTTGGACTGGTTAATAATGGAGCATTTCAAACAAGCTAATGCGCAGGCCGAACGGTCCCGAAGCGCCCTACATGATGGCTCTGCAAGTAGAAGTCAAATTCCGTGGGGTGCACGACCTCACGGTCGACAACGGTGCTGGGGCGGCAGTTGCGCTCTGTGTCAGAGTTCCAATAGGGTGTTTCATAATTGAAATTTTGGGTCCAACTTATGCCTCAACTTATGCCCCAACTTGGCCTCAACTCGAGCCAAGTTGAGGTGCCTCAACTCCGAAGTTGAGGCAGAATTAGGTCTCGCATATCACCTTACATAACAAACGATGCGCCAAAGCCGAAGTTGGGGCATCAAGTTGAGGCACAAGTTGGGGCAGAAGTTGGATGTCAAGTCGTGGTCTTATGCACGACTTGACATCCAACTTCGATTTTGTGCCTCAACTCCGGCCTCAACTTCACAAAAGTTGAGGCCCGAGTTGGGGCACGAGTTGGGCCCGATATTTTAATTATGAAACACCCTAATCTTTGTCGAAAAATCTACGAACCGGAAATCAGAGCTAGAAATTCGGCGCCGAGTTGCATACCGCATGCGATTGTCCTTCCCCACATTAATGAAGGTAATCTTTGGATCGATGTTTAGCAATTCGCATGCCTCTAGCGTGTTCGTTGTCAGCGCTTATGCCGGAAATTAATAAAATGAGAAAGAGAACTCTTGATTAGAGGCAGTTCTACAGAGATCGGTTAGCGCAACAGCATTCGGCGAGCATGTGTCGTACCTTCCTTCAGGACTGTTTTGAACTGTCCTTCGGACATCTGAGGAAATTGGAGTGATGATTCAACTGAAATTCATCTTGGCATCGTACCTCGATAGAAAAGGATCCGTTTTGGTGCCTCCTCACGGTAATAATTATATCTCGTGAGTAGGTGCTAGATATATATGTATCAGCGACCAGCGTTATCAAAGCATCCACCCAAGCACACACCATGGTCATTTCCTGCAAATCCTAGATCATCTCCGGCCGCGCCTCTTTTTGCCCGTGGAACGTCGTGATATAGTGCGAGGCGTGTGTATCAACACTGGCAACAACAGCGGCAACAGACGGGGCCGCCGATAACCCTGTAGACAGATGCACCACGTCGGCGCCTTCGAGAGGTTCAAAGACGACGAAAAGGGTAAACGCGTCTTACCCATCACCATCGTCCCGTCCTTTTCGCCTAGAAGCGGCACGCGAGCGGGCACGGTGAATCTTGCGGGGTCAATGACCACGTTGATGCCACTGAGCTTGGTGTTGATTCTGCTGACATTTTCGCGAATCGTACATAAACAATTAACGAGCCGAGAAGGAAGAGATGATGCACTGTGCAATATTCGACCAGAGCTGCGGGCTAGGCTTGGGGTTAAACCAAGTAGACTGCTTCATGCATTGGATGGGAATCGCTCTCTGGTGAAACTTAGTAGGGGCCTGGTACCAGGCGGTCCGATAATTAGCACATACCTGCACGTTCAGCAATATGTCTTTTCGGAATACTCAGACAAAATGCACGCACTATTTAACGGTCCTGTAGTTTTCCGGTCTACTATCATCGGAGGGCAGAACCACGAAGAGTAGAGAAGGAGCCTTGCCACTCCGGTTCACGCACTGCTGCTCGATCTCGTTCAAATCCTGGCGGAGGAGATGGCCAAATGAAATCAATGTTACTGCAATCCAGTGGGACCAAGTGCCATCGCACCCGCAGGATATCCGCATGATTGTCGAAGAATTTCGTCACACTTGGGGTTTGTTCAACCATCTCGATTCCTGCGATTCGATAGAGATTAGCCAGTCAAGCGACGGCAAATAACAGTCCAAAGCCGGCGCACTGAACCTCTGGTCGTATTCATAGCAGACGAGCGCCTAATTCTCGATTTTCGCGGCTCGATAGAAGTGTTTTTCCTTCCTGTAATGGTACGCCATCAGCAGTGATCCATATTCTCGGTGGGCACCCACATGTGCAAGTTTCCATTTATCGGAGTCTACGCACGAAAGATAAGCGCTGAAGGCAAGATTATACACACAACAGTCTGAACTTGGCTCCCCGGCGCAGGCTGATACAGTAGTACTGGTGGCTCCAGCACTCGCGCGTCCATGGAGATCGGTGACTCGGCCACGCTGATTCCGAACTGGCGCACATAATCCGACTGTCCATAGGACAGGACCTGTTGTGATCCACCCGGTGAATGAGCTGAATCCCCGAAAGCCCCAGATATTTCAAACAGCGTACCTGCAGCCTCTTCAAACGGCTGAGCCGCTCTGCGGGCGGCCGAACACAGAAACTAGTGCGTTTCTCGTTGATTTTCTTTTTTAGCTTGGGCGGCGGACTCGGGTAGAGGGGCTGGCCGCCCGGCACCGTGCACAGCTCCAGGGGAATCCACGCGCCCTTGCCCGCCTCGGGGTTCCCTACCTGAAGCAACATCCGGCGTCAGCATGTTCAAAATTTCCTAATCAGATAAAAGAGATGGCAGTTCGTACCTGGACACACGGCAAGCCGGGATAGCGCAAGCACTGATCCGTCATCTCGTAAAAATACTCCGCGACAGTCGTCTCCCTCCCATCGCGGCGTGCGAAAGTCTGCTGATCTGCGCCGGTATCCCCCAGTCCCTTGACGGCACGCACCATAGTGTCGTGCGAGCCGATGCGCGTCCACTGTACGCGCACGCCGGTAATGAACTGCGCCAAGCCTGCCGCGCGAGGTCGGTGAGGCGCCCATGCTGGTACATTGCAGCACTGGAGATGTCGATGTTCACAAGGAGTCGGGACATGACGGGGCGCAAAAACTGGAAGTACCCTGGTCACTGTGCAACGCCTGAGCGAGTTGCGTATACCTCGTGCGGCGTGTAGAAGATGCGTCGTTTCTTGTTGGTAGGGAGGGAGGAGAGCGGCTTCATCCGGAGGACAACGACTAGCGCCTGGAAGACGGGAGTGGTGAATGGGTACAAGGTGCTTCGAAGGTAGAGGCGATATCATTTACCTGGCGCGCATCGTTGACGTTGACGGAGTTCCGTTGCGTTTGGTCACCTTTGACGAAGCGGTGGAGCGAGCTTCCTCCGCTCCCGCCCGAGCGCCCTCGAGGGCTGCGTCCTTGAGCTGGCGGGTCCTCTGCCGGCATCCCTCTCCTCGCCCCTCGCGTGCGGGTGATCGCCCCCGTGCTCCTGTAGAACGACCCCGCGTGGGAGCGGGATGTATTGGTCCCGTGGTGGCTGAGTGTGCCCGCTTCTGTGTCCTCGAGGACGCATATTGCCGTCCTGATAATAAGGAAGGCTGTTGTCACTGGAGGCTAGGTTTTTGCGCAGATGTAGGGGACTGCAGGCGAGGGTAGAAAGTTGGATGTTGGCGGAGAGTCTTCAATAGCTCGTCATGGGCCACAACGTCTGATGAGACTGTCATGGCCATTGGCTGGAAGGTTATGCGGAAGGCTTTAATGGGTAATAGCTGCCGAGGAGTTCAGAGTTAGAAGACAGGGCAAATGGATTCGAAAACTTAAGAGAAGGAACTTCTGGGCTCCCAGTCGAGCGCACTATAGTGAGAGCTGGGTCGAGGCAGCGTGAGACGTCACAAAGGTGTCGAAGTTGAATAATCACGAAAAGCGGAGATGTGCAGCTCTTCATGATCAAGATATGTGTTCCAGGTGGTGGTGGTTTTGGATGTCGGCCATTGTGGTCGACGGTGAGCGCGGGGAGGGGCTAGATTGATGGTGGGCGCGAACGAGTTTTCTGCGCGTACTTGTGGAGCGGGAGGGGGCGGCGGAGGAGGTGGAGGGCTCGGTGCGGCAGGAGCGGGACGCCCACGGCTCTCGCCCCAGGAGTGTGAGGTTAAGGGCACAGAGTTGGGTGCACGTCCGGCGCCAGGCCTGCCAGGGCCTAGAGCTTCGCCACGCCCGGAAGCGCGAGTCGCGACGGGCAGCGGCGTCAGTGATTTTTCGGGCGAGTCGACGATTGACTTAATGGAAGAGTAGATAGAGGGGCGGGAGGATACCCTGAAGACAACGCCCTCCCTCTTCGACGGACGCGAGGAGGAGGTGACGAGTGGGGCAGGAGAGTCGATAAGTGCCGGAAATGAAAAGGCGGAACAATCCGATACACTGCCACTGTTGCGCCATCAGCGCACCGGTTCAAACTTCAACCCCACCACCCACTCTTACTGGCTCTTATCCTGACTGAATAATCTTCCAAATTGGCCAGTTTCATCCCACCATTTCATCTTCGATCCCCGATTTTGTTCGCGCATTAATAAGGTTTGGATTGGAGTACCAGTGGCACCACACGAAGGCCTGCTCGCGGATGGTCCATACGATACAGATTTCCAGTGAGCAGGCTGTAGGATCCGCTCGCTCGATTGGGGCCGGGGCTATACACCTCATCGCTTGTTTATTTTTGCAACCTATATATTTGGGAGTGAGGTTGAGTTTGAGTTGAACTGGAAGCTCTGTGCATTGAAGTCAACTACTCTATGCGCCTGTTATCACGTCCTCGCTAGTTTAGCATGGGCATGCGTTGTGAATGGACGGATCGGTTATGGCGTGCCTCCGGAACTCGAACCGTTTCCTTCTTGCCTTGATTAAAATGAGAGTAGCAGATCCGCGGACCAACTGGATGCAGAAGGAATATGCACCCCGTCGGTCTTCAAAAAATACCACAAACCGACCACATGCCCCCCCGGGGATTCGAACCTCCGCTTCCTCGTTAACGAAGCCCGACTTTGAACCTTCGCCTCGTCAGTCTTCAAAAAAAAATCCTGCGTTCGTTTCCCAAATGCCTCCGGAAGGATTCGAACCTCCGCTTCCTCGTTATATTGACACTATCCGCAGGTAACGAATCGAGGCGACCACCATGATCCACGAAGGCGTTCTAAACTCTTTTCTCATCCTGGTACCTATGGGGAGTTCCTAATGACCTTCACTCCACAGATATTCTCGAGAGCATCTCGACGCGGAAAAATAATTACCCCGGGCCTCAAGAAATCTGGAAAACTGACCAAATGTCTGTGGGAGGATTCGAACCTCGACTTCCTCGTCACACAGTGATTTACGCTCTAGGGAATCGAGGCGACCACCATGGTCCACGGAGGCATTCCGCCCTAATATATATTCCGGGGAGGTCTAGGGAAAACGAGTAATCAGGTGAACGCAGAGGAGAAAAAAAGAGAAGGTGAGATACGCCTCCTCTCCGACCTCCTTAATCAACGGCGTGGCAGCATACGATAGCATCGAGCTTTACCTCGAAGCAAAAGAAAATAAGAACCCCGGTCTTGAACCGTCTCGTCAGTCTTCAAAGAAAAATCCGTTGGATTCTCCAAATGCCTCCGGAGGGATTCGAACCCCCTTCTCCTCGTTACTTAGGTGAATCAGGAACCCCGCTATAGAGTCGAGGTGGCCACCATGGTCGACGAAGGCGTTCTTAACCCCTTCTCGTCCTAAGATGCGTAGAAGAATAGGCATGAAGCTGCCCAGAAGAAAGGATAAAAGCAATGGTCCCGGAAAATTGGGAATCGAGACCACAACATCCTATGGTCCTTCACAGCCCTGTCATTCCATAGATATTTTCCAGATTTGATTATATTTTCGACTTTAAACTGAACCAAAAAAAAAACCTCCGCCACAGATTCAAATGTCATGGATCTTCCAGCAAGTCCAGGGATGTATGAACCTGAACAAGGCCCGGTAGCGTAAGGTCCGCACCTGCACCAGATAACTGCCATTCTACAAATATGCTATCCGGGATCCGATTCGGGCTCGGGCCATATCCTCTTCGTGTCGCCTGTCTCCTTGTTTATTCGCCGTGCGTTATGGAATCAATGTTTATTTCTCCAAGCCCACAAGCACCAAAATAAAGCCCCGTCGCGAATGGTCCGCGATTCGGGAACGGGCCATAAAAGCCATGATGATCCTCTCCCTTTTTACATACTTGAGTTATTCGCTGTGAGTTTTGAATTGGATGCTCGTTTATTCGAGCCCATAACTAATAGACCTTCCTTCATGGGGCGTGGGTGAGATGGATGGATGGGTTATGTCATGCCTCCGGAAGTTGAATCTCCTCAGTCTCACCCTACTAAATATGAGAGCATCAAAGCAACTGCGTGTATCAACGCCCGGCTTCTCCTCGTCGATCTTCAAAAAATACACTGGAAAAAATTAAGTGCCTCCGTGGGGATTCAATCCCCCTCCTCGTCAAGTACCAACTTATGTCCCCCAGACCCAGACGGAATCGAGGTGACCACTATGGTCTCCCGGTCCCGTCCCGGGCCAGTATACTTATTTTTCATTTGCGCTAAACAAAAGTCCTGTTTGTGTCGGTATATCAATTTACATCTGGGTTGAGATGTTAACACTGACAGAGGACCGGTCGGTTGACGAAGTCTGAAGGGAGTCCATTCAGGTCCATTCCAAATCGGATTTGGGTTTTTTGATCGGCCCAATCGGTCCGACCAACGACACAACTGCAAACACTCAGACTCTACGCCAACACATAACACCACGATTATCGCCGATTAGTGAGCTACGCTCGACGATTCAGTACTCAGGCATTGTGCTAATGCATTGCAGGCAGGATGTCCCTCCCGGAAGCCCATTAGCTCTCCAGGAACTCACCAGCCACTCGACTCCAGACCTCAAGGTGTTTGCAAGGCGTGCGCTCTTTATGCGCTCGGGTCAGCCGGTGTTGGACCTAAACGGCCCAAATGCAGCGGCTTGTCGCACTCTCTAGCCTCACTGGTATACAGTTCGCCCCTGCACCAACTCACCACTGTTATAGTAAACAGTAAACCTCCCACTCCTTGAACGCGCGGAAGTTGGTACATGTGTATGGCTAAAGTTCACCCTCCCTTTGGAACATAGGAACGGAACATTTCTGATTTCTGATTCTTGCAGCGCTCTTCCCAGTGGATTCCACCGAACAACCGTGGAACTTCCATTCAAAAGGTTCAGCGGGGGAACTGCGGGCCCAAGACGCCAGGCCGATTATGACACCCGCGTAAGCCCGACGTGAATGCGGAGCGTCGGGTCTCCCCTCCTGGTGTGCCGGCGGCGGCCTGTGAACCGAACGGCATTGTCGGTATATGCACTTGTGCGGTTACAGGAATGCGATTCATTGTGCGGTGCGTAATTGGCGCAACTTCTCTGTGCGGTCCTGCTACAAATCATCGATCGGATAAGTAAACTTTTACTGAGATATTTTGGATAGAATCATCCTCGAAACATGGGGCATAGCTCGAATGCCACTATGGACGGGTGTTCCATTCAGACTGGCATCGTGAAACCTCTCCTGAGATACTTATGACGAATCCTCGACAGTTCGGTGCGGATTTGCACACGCTGGTCCTTCGAATGATCGCCTAGTCGACGTCACTCTGACCTCGCGGGATCTCCGATGGAACAAAGTCAAATCCCTATCTGTGTGTGATGTTCTACGCTTTTGCCCATATTTATTGCAAAAATGGTTGCTTCCCTAAAATATTATATGCAGATTATATCTCGTTGGAAAGGTGATGTTGCTGGTCCCGAAGGTTCGGGAAATTTCCCTTCCTACGGAATACCACTGCCCTTTCCACTGTCGGCCTCATTTCCACCGTTGAAGGCTCCGAAGATTTCTTTGGCGATAGCGTTCAGGCACCTCATACGGTTTCTTTGTTTAAACGTTATGATCTCTCGGGCCACCTGGGTTGGCGGTGCGCATCAGGGGTTCCGTTGATAGAGCCGCAATAGAAAAAAGTTACGTTACGATCTTTGTGGGCCGTCCCTTGTCTTCTGACCATTTTGGAGGTTTCAAGCCAATTCGCACGCAAAAGTTAAAATCATATCATGAACACACACATTTATCTTATCTTCCGCTTTAAAATTCAAGTCCGTCTGTTCGGTGTTCTCTAAATATAAGCAGGCTCATCTTTCCCACTAGGCCATGGAATCTCTTGACAATGTGACCACCTCTCTCTCGCCATATCTCGTGGTTGCTGTCCCGCCACAGTGTCATTCTGCGTCCAATGGATGACCTTGCAGAGAAGCCGAACGGCGAGGATATCACCTTTCTAGCGCCCAAAATGCTTCTGCGCAGCGCGTCACCAACAATAAACTCTTGCACGCCTGAAACAGGATCTTAGATGCGTGCGTGGATTGGTCGAGGGACTCGTGCAACGAAGTTCGCAAATCTCGCTGTGTGGAGTATGTGGCCCAAGCTGATGGATTCCACCGGGTCTTAGCTGCATGATCCGCTTTGTCGCAGGACACGCTTGACACATGGGCTCGTGACCCCAACTAGTGTCCCCCCATAGCCTCGAAAGGAGCATTTCCGAGTAAGTCCTCGGACACGGGACACCGTTAATGCTACGTCTCACTCTATCCTTGACATGAAGGTATGTGTCCTGCCTGCCTGCCGGCATCGGTAAATGCGCTTCTCCCTCACGGTACACAACATATGATTCTGCTCGAACTGGATGCTGCCAAGGTCCAGACAATGCTGGATCGCCGTAAGAGTCTATTTCCGCCCATTTTCTGCAGGGATTGAACGTTCTTTGGGGTGAACGTGTAGTGCGCACCGGACAGCCCAGCGATGGCCATTTCCGACCCAATAAAAGCGCGCACGGCCTATATCCTGAGGCATAAAGCCATAATCTGCCATAATCGACAATCCTAATCTTCGCGCCCTCACGAGGTCCATCCCCATCCTTGATTCTTAAATTAGCGACGCCTTGTTCTTCCGCCCCGGAAATTCGGCTTCGTGTGCGTTCTTCATCCCCGCAACCAGCACTGACGTAAATTTCATTCCGTGGATCCGTCATTTTGAATGATTGTCCGTGTCAACTAGTTCAGCTCTCTGATAAAATCGCCGCGGGGTCTTCTATCTGACATATAATCGAGATTTCCCTCCATTCCCCCCGTCTTAAATTCTGGTCTGAATTCAGGATGCCCCAGACAGAAAATGCGTCCTACATTACACACAGCGCACTTCGTAAGTGCCTCTGGCTTCTTTCGAGCGCATAATGCATACACTTAACCCGGATGCACCAGATATCCGGGACATCACCGATGCACACCGCGTGCTCGAGGCTGTCCGATTGAATATTCTCCCCCTCATCAAGCGGCGGCTCGTTCCCTATGAGCGGGCGCAGCTGCGGAGCGGGAACGTCTTTGTATGGGAGGAATCGGAATACGAGGACGGCTTGGTGCGCTGGACAGAGGGGCGACGATGGTGAGTATGCTGAAGCTGTTTAATCCCGATGTTGATTAAGTGCTTTCCCTGCTCAGGTCGCAAAGTAAAATGCGTGGAGACTGCCTCGTCTACGAAGAAAAGATAGAGACAACATTCGCAGAGAGGCAGGCTAAGGCTGCTCGACGGTTCGTTTTGCGGCAGTCTCCCATTACCTTCGTTGATTCCGTGGCGTAGTGCTATGAAGGTGTCCGAGTCGCCCCAGCCAATTCCGGCGCCTCCAAGACGGAAGGACCGCCCCTCCAAAGTCGGCGGCCTCACCAAGAAAACCTATTCCGTGACAGTTCAGCTGCCGGGGGCTGCGGCGACCAGGAAATGGCACGTTGTTGCGTACTGCTCGGTATGGTCTACACCGCGTCCATTTCATGCTATGTTTCTCATACCGCACCAGGCCTGCGATGCTGCCGATCTGCCAGTAATAGAAGACTACGACTACCTGAGAAATATCCGCGTTCCCAGCGGCGTGTTCGTTAACAGTAACCGGGTGGTTAACGGGAGCCTCAAGCGGTTTCCTCCACCTCTGCGACTCATGATGCCGGGTGGCAGAAGTCCCTCTTCCACCGAAGGATCAATGTCGCCGGTTATTAGTACTGACGACTGCGAGCTGGAACATTTTCCGGCAAACTTGCCGCAGTTTCCTGGGCAAA